TTAAAATGACTCAAAATATATTTTTGATCATTTCCTTCATATTAATGGAACAGTCATAAAAATATATAAAAATTCTCCAAAACAACACCATATATACATATGCCTCTGGAAAAAAAAATACTAACTCATTGAAATTTATAATTTTTAAGTAATAAATAAAATCTTGCTCATTTATAAGACTAACAAATTTATCACATCTACTACCACTCAATTCAATAACACAACATAATTACAAAGTCAACTATCATATTTTCAATCCATTATATTCCCACGTAATAAATAACTTAAGCAAAAAAAAATATTAACAAAACATAATTAATTTCACAATATTTAAGTGATAAAAAAAATAAATCAAATCATCCTCATTTATAAAACTCATGAATTTATCACCACTATTACCATTTAACCCCAAAATAACACAATATAATTATAAATTTGATCACCAAATGTCCAATCCTGCACATATACATATATACAAAAACACACCCACACACACATTTTTTTTTATTACTAACAAACCCTCCTAACCAATAATTATTTTTATTAGAAATATAATACTTTATGTTTTAAAGATAAAATAATAATTGTATAGGGGAAACAAAAAAAGGTTGACAGGGAGAGTTATACGAGGGATGAGAGTATTAGAATTGTAAAAAGAATAAAAGTTCAATTAGAACCATTGGATCAAAATAATCTGAGCTGCGAAAATGTGAAACCTGGGAAAAATTTTAACTTTTTTTGAAAAAGGGCAAAATGGTAATTTGTCATTATAGCGCGGGTTGAAAAATTGATATTTTTCTAGACCTCGTGTGATGAAACAGACATCACCGTTGGATTTGCATCGCGAAATCTAGCTGTCCTGTCAATTTTCGTCGAATTTTGAGATAGTCGAATTTTTCACATTTTTCGAGGCGAGGGGCGTCCGGTGACCCCCAAAAACGAAATTTTAATAAAAAATTTTGAAAATTAAAAAATATTTTAAATAAATTTCATATAAAATATTTTGAGGTTAAACCGGTACAAAATAAATCGTTTTCGGGCAAAAATGGACCCGAATCAGTGAGGGACACGTGACGCGACTCGGGCCAAGTATTGGAAAGTATAAATAGGGGCTAAATCAGATATTTTGCTGAAGGATGTCTGCATTTTAGCTGGTTCCAACGTGTGAGAGCAAGAGGGAGAGAAAAAGGGAGAAAACAAATCCTCCTTCGCCGATTGTCGGAGTTCCGTCGCTCGGATCAACTCGGACCAAGAGCCAAAGTTCATCTCCTTGACGAGGGCTACACGTATGTACCAAAAAGAGTGGATTTCACTGAAGATCCAAGAGGAGACTTTGGGAAAAATCAAAACTTTGAGGTTGATTTGGTATTATAGAAATTCTTACACTTCTATTGAGGTAGGGTTCCCTCCTACCTTGGTTTTATTCTTACCTTAAGTGGGATTTTAGTGGCTGAAATTGGTTTATATGTGGGTTGTCCAAATGGACTATTTTGGTGCTGAAATAAGGGCTATTTTGTGCACTAATTAAGGACTGTTTTGTGCACTAATTAAGGGCTATTTTGTGCACTAATTAGGGATTGTTTTGTGCACTAATTAGGGGCTGTTTTGTGCACTAATTAGGGACTATTAAGGGGCTGAATTTGGGCTGTTTAAGGGGCTGTTAAAGGACTGAATTATGGACTATTTTTAGGCCATGTTATGGACTGAAATTGTGACTGTTCTTGGGCTGAAATTGTGACTGTTTTTGGACTGTTTTTAGGCTATTTTTTGGGCTATCTATGGGCTGTTTTGTGGTTTAGATAAGAACCGTTACATGGGCTATTACATGAGCCGTTATGTATTATATTATGCCTTAATGATTAGGTGTGTTTATTAGCCTAAAAGTTGTGATATCACTCGCCTATGATTATGAAAGTGAAATTATGGACTTATGACATGATTTATGATTGGAAATGCAATTGTTGGTATATGCATGCTATGATATATTGAATTTGTGACAAATATGGTATCTATATGCTTAGAACATAACTTATCATGATATGTTGAGATTGTTCATATGTCATTCATAGCATATTGAATATTGTATCATTGTGCATAGAGACATCACATTCATGGGCATAAGTCATGAGTGTGGGTGTGTGAGATGCATGGTTGATTAAAGACCTTGTTTGGTGGTTGGTATGTGGGTTCGGGAAAAAGTGGATCGAAGATCCCTTTGAGTTGCATGGTTGCATGGAAGAAAACTTGTGTCGGATATAACAAGTAGGGCTAGACTCTCTCTCGGGTGCAAAACCCGGCGACTTGGTTATACACTCCCCTGTGGTGAAATTTTGAAAAAGTGTAGTATGGTATACGGAACCGGCGGTATAAAATCTAAAATTCGTTGCCCAACAAGACATAAGATTTTGATTTATAAGAAAATACTCATTTAATGAGTACCATCCAATAATGATCTAATTTATAAAACACATGATTTTTTATTCAAAGCGATCATTGAATGTATTTCCGTCAAAGACGGGTCATTACACATTGACATTGCATTGTGTTGTGGAAGTCAGTGAGGACTTGAGTTTAAGTGCATAAGTGAGTATCATCTTATTTCATGGCATGACATGGTTGCATTTCAACATTGAATACATATTCTTATATGAATGGTTGTTAAATGTTAACTGTTGCTTATACACATTGCATATGCATTTAAGGTGGGGAGTAGCCCTAGTAGGAGTTTTTCTCTACTGGGTGTTGGTTCACCCTATACGGGAAACATTTCAGGTACGGGTCATACGCCGAGGGATGGCACTTACTCGGGCACTTAAGGAAGAAGAAAAGCCGACTTGTGGCTTTCAATCCATTTCTTTTGTAAAATTAGACTTGTTATTAAATTTTGGCATGTAATGTGTAAAGGAATTGTGATAGAATCTATATCGACTATTTTAATATAATATTGCATGTTTGTATGAATATAGATAATTAGACCTAGTGTGACCAATGTTTACTTATAAATGGACTCAGTGTGGTCATTGTTGAGTATAGGACCTCGGATGAGTCTTGTTATTATATAATGCACAGGTTGTGTTTTGAGTAGAGTTCTCCTTACAAAGGAGATTCTGTCCAAATTTTTAATAAATGATGGATCCCGGTAAATGGGGTATAACGTTGAGATATCGAGTTACTCGGTATCCATGGGCATTCCGCGGGTTAATGAGTAATCAACGGACCCCCGGATTTTGGGGTGTCACAGAAAAGGTCAAGACAAATAATTTAGTAATTTCATTATATAGATATAGATATTGGTATTGATATATATATAGATAAATATATAGGACATCATATGTTAATGAATGTATATTTTGTTAGAAATAATCCTTGTTATTAGAGTTTTAATAGATGTTAGATATATTTTGTTATTATTAAATATATATATAACTATTCAAATCAATCTCTCCAATTGTTTAAATGGAGATAACGAGCCAGAGTTTAAATGAGACATATGAATGGAGATCACGAGAGATAGTTTGATTGAGACATATGAATGGGGATGAGGAAACAGAGTTCGAATGAGACATATGAAAGGGGATGAGAAGAGATAAAATAAATGCAGTAAAGTCCTGTAAAAAGTAAATTAATTAAAATCGTCGAATCAATAATATTGAATCGATCTGAACCGCAAAAAACTCAAGACGAATTAAGCTAATTATGTTATTATATAGATATAAGAGAGAATTTTAATGTTAGTCAAATTTTTAAAATTTAGAACTTGTTAATTTTTAAATTTATTTTAATTAAACATAACTACTAAGAGCATTTCGAATAATAAAGATCAAAGTGAATTTATTATTAAATAAATTTTTTTGATAAATTTATCACCAAATAAAATCACAAAAAAATGACCGACTTCCGAATTCTCGAAGATATTTTTCTCGCAATCTGGTAGGCCATCATCAATAACAATATTTTCGTCCTTAGTAAGAAGAAACGATTGAAATTGATTTATGACATCCTCAGACATGACATGGTGTCCAATTGATTAGTGACACAAAAACTACTATATATGTGGACAAAATTGAATGATTGACAATAGATGACGGGGGTTAAAAAAACACAGATTTGGAAGGAGATAGATGAAACGAGACAGGAGATCTAACTCGAAGGAAGAAAGAGGAAAAACTCTTATAGGTTCGTCCTATATGCCACTTTTGGTTGGATAGTGTACTTTCACTTTTTATCAATAAAAGCACGTCAATTATAAGGTTTTCTTATTTCATTACTTTTTTTTCTTCTAATAATTATAAATTATTCAAATTAAAATTAACTGGCCGAATTAAATTTCGGTACATTAATTCAGCCGTGTGGTCTCATCATTCCGATGGCCTTCCCAACTCCGTAAAAAACCTTTTTCATAAACAAAGCATAGTCCTCGTCATGAAGTAGGAGGTAGGATATAGCTAGCAAGGGGTTCGGCAAAGGTTAAAAAAAAAAAATAATAATAATTTGAATTCGAATTCAAATTTGATTAAACAAATATAAATTAACATTTTTTATCGACAATTCAATCCAAATACAAACCCGTTACATCATATTTAATTGAGATATAAAAAATTCAATCTAATTATAATTCAATCCAAATTATGTATTTATATTTGTATATGTTTACGACTAAACTAAGATGTTATTTAATAAAATTATATTGAAAATTTAGATGTAATTTAGTTATTTAGATCAGATTATCGAATTAGAATTCAATTCTTAAATATTAGGATATGGATTATAAAAATAAAATATGGCAAACAGTTGACTTGGATTCATATTAAAATTTTCGAATTGGAATTAGATTCAGCTCGACTACAATCCCATCCATATCCGATTCACAAGCCTAGAGGGACATAAAGCGAGGCACCAACCATACAATCGCTCATTAGCCACCCTTTTCGTTGCCGTCATCTAGCCAAATGATTAAAATAAAGCGAGGCACCGCTAATACCATCTAGCCAAATGATTAAAATGAATTAGATAGATAGACAAATAATACAATAATCTCTTCTTCATGCTGAAACATGTATGGCCTGCCTTGATATCTATATCTGTATCAATATGCCGATATCTAATTCAATATCTATCAAAGCAAGGAAAAACTATAATGCAGAAAATAATTACATCGAGAAATATATCAACCTGTAGGTGGATTAAAAACGGACACAGACCCATCCATGTAAGAACAAGAAAGGTATAAAACTGTCATTGCCGTGTTCTTTGCAATCTAGATCCAATCATTTTGAGTTCGAATCTCTTCACAGCTCCAGCAACATTCCGCATTGTGGTATCCCTGACATAAGGGATTTGTTCAACGATGATATCTGTTGTATTCACAAGCTGCTGGCATGGCTCGCGCCGTTCAGCTATGGTCCCGTGATAATGGAAGTATTTGACCTGCTCCGTCGGCATATATTTTTTCTTACCCACCATGTTCTGTGACAGGTGCACCCCTGTGGCAAACACACTGCGAGGTTGAATCGCGTATTTACGGTTCCTTTTCCTCACTCTCTTCACATCTTTGTACACTAGCTTCTCAAATCCCCATTTGCTAGAAACATCACATTGCATTGTTTCCATTACAAATAGTTATTGCAAAAATAAAAATAAAAAAAGGAAATCTATTTGAATGACAGAAATGGATATAAGTTAATTAGCACTAACTTTGTCACTTTCTATTCTGCCTATAATCAGCTCAACCTAACATTCAACCTTGTACAAAAGACAACAATAAATCAGACAGGATGAAACCATGAGTAATAAAGCTACAATTCCACCCATAAATTTGAATTCTAGATTGTCTTTCACCTCCAAAGACTAATTAGAAATTGGTGTTGTCCATCAAATGTTGAATGGGATTCAACCATCCGGCTATAAATCCTGGATATGGGTTGTTAATCTCACATTAAATAACCATCATTGGAGGTTTGTGACATTATAATAACTTCTGGTTGATCTCATCAGACCTCTATAGCTTCAATCAATCTGTACATAACTATAATTCAGGCATCTTCATTGCATGGATACGAGTCATTAAAGCTTGTAACTTGAACTTGTATCTCGGTTTTTAATTCCTTAATACACTTATGAGGCTATCAAATATCCTAGCTAAGATAATATTTCAAAAACGGTGGGCCTAAGAAGGTCTATGGCATGACTAAGAACATGCTAACCCACCTCTTTTTTTTATTAGAGAAAGAACCCCACTTCCACTTGGCACAAATGTCTTGAAAGAAAGAGAAGAATCCAAACTAACATCAAAGGAACTTGCTAATAAATCCAAACAAGTACGCATCACGTAATGTAATTTATTCAAAATCAACGTATTTTATTAGCGATTAAATTTCAACCCCAGTATGATATGCGACAATATTCAACATCAACATGTTTTTTAAGTCCTGATATTTCAACATCACCATTAACCGTTGCAATTACTCCATTGCCACCAAGTGGACAATCACACTGTTTTACAAAAACCCACTAATTATTCAACATGGATTCAGCTAGAGATGCAATTTCAGGCTACCAACACAATTCACAAGCTAACTTAAACACCTACTTAACAGGGAAGTCAAACAAATTGTATCAGTTTTGCTGCAAACCTAATAGTAGGAGACAACCAAACGTGTTCAAATTCAACCCCTTAGAAGGGAACGTCAAGATTTCCCTTGTCTCAGAACTAGAAAACATGTTTACGCTTAGGTCAGGTTAATTTCGAGTACAATTTTTCTGCTCTCCAAATAAAAGTTCACAATACTAACTTTTCATTTTTTCTTTTTAAAGATCTAAAAAACAAAGAGGGTAAACCTCATATACGCCCTCTGAACTATCACATTTGTTTTAAATTGGCCCTATATTTTCAATTGCCCCATAATTTATTTCAATCGACTCCTTATGTTAAGATTAACCATTAAATGTGACAAAATTAACAGTTAATCTTAATAATAACTGTTTCAGTGAACAGATAATCTTAACAAAAAAATGTCCCATTTGTCGGCTAATCCCAGCAGAAGGGGTTTGATTGAAACAATTACATAGTTCATGGGATAAATTGGATCAATTGAAAGTTCAGAGACAATTTAAAACAAAAGCCATAGTTCAGGGGATATTTATAATAACTAAAACTACGAAATGGGGATTGAGAAACGGAGGAAATTTACCTGGAAGTTTCGCCCGCATCCTCGGCGAGACAAAGCTTGTTAGACATTGGCGTCTGCTCCATAAATAACTCTGTATACTCAGAAAGCGAATCGAGGACCGACTTGATAGTACTCTTATCAGGTACAAAGATAAATTCATCCACATCGAAGAAGAACATCCACTTAGCTATAAATCGATACCGATGCAAACAATCATTCACAATCAAAAACTGATTATGATAATATCCATCAAACCTCTCTTGCTCTGTAATGATCTGCAAAGTGACGAACCCTTTCTCCATCCAAGGTCTGAGCACCTCCATCACCTCAGAATGTATGCCGCCAGCATCATAAATTACAAAATGCGACTTTCCCCCGAATAACCTCACATGATAAGCCAACCATTCTCTCATCCTCTGTGGACTTAAATTACCATACAATGGAGACCCACAATGCAAATAATCATATTCAGGTTGAGATAAAAAGCTTGAGAAATTTACACTACCAGGTTGTTCCACTAAAGCCTCAATCTTATCGGTCAAATTGAAGTTCCGGTCAAAACCACCATTGGTGAAATCTTGTAGAAGTAATTTTCCACCCGAGTTGTCTTCATTGATGGGGATTGGGAAAGTGCAATTGACAACCACGACGGTGTAGACACGGCCAAAGCCCCAATCTGGGAGGATTTTTTGGCCCACTGAAGTGATGGGTTGTTGGGTTTTGTTGGAATTAGAGAGCCACTGGCATTGGTAGATTGGTCTGCCGAAGACGTGGAGGGGTTTCGCAGCGAGACCGATGATAGCAAAGGTGTTGAGTCCGCCTCTGTAACTAGACATCAGTATGAAGTTGTATGAGGCTGAGCCATAGGCGTTAAAAGCTCGCTTTATAATGCCACCTTCCAGGACCTGATCATTTTGTAGGGACGGAGGTGGTGGTATGGTGGGAAGTGATGCTAATGGTAGGGGGATTACTACATCCGCTGCCACCGGTGGTGCTGATTTGTTTACAACTTCACTTGCTGTGGTGGCGGTGGCGGAGATGCAGCTGGGAAGGTCGGAGAAAGAGGAAATAGAGAATCGAGAGGGGAGGAACTGGAAGATGGTGACGAGAGAGCAGAGGAAGAGGACGGCTGGAAGGAGGAATTTGTGCTCGGCTGCACAATTGAAGAGTATTCGTACAAACATGTTCTTCTCTTTCTCTCTCTCCTTTTCTTTTCCCACCATTATTGAAAAAACTCTCTGTAAGTGCTGATGCTGGAACTGTTACTTTTAGAGAGAGAGCCACCACCACCACAACACAACAAAAAACCACAGCTAAGAACCGAAGCAGAACAAAGAAAAAAAAAAAACTAATCTCTCTCTTTCTCTATGAATGTCCAGAGTGTGCGAATGGTCTCTGGAATTTGTAATGGTAATAGCGTAATGCTGTTAATGTATTCGAAGGTGCATTTATATCGGATAAGGAATATGAAATAGTGAAAAAGAAAAGGGAAGTGAATGAGTGATTATGTTATGACAAAGTTAAAGTTGTTTCTCTTCTGGCGGAAGGCAAGGGGACGAAAGGTGCGAGTTTGGTGTGTACACCATCTTTTGCGAATATGCTCTATTCCAAACCTCCTTCTCCTTTGGTACACTAGCAGATTGTGACCTAAAACTTACTGGTGTTATCCCGTGATTGTTTTGTCACGTACGTGTCAATAAATAATTATTTAATACTATTATAATGCATATGATATTATGTAAAGAAAATAAAAAAAATTACGAAACACATTTTTTGGTTTTTATTGTCGTGTTATTCATATTAAATCTTAATTCGACTCATTTATTCTTCGTATTAATCTAACATGTCAGTTTTTGTTTCATATCGTGTTAAATTTATGTCCATGGATAAAATTGACAACCCAACTAAAACTTTAATTTGACTTTTTGACCTCATAATGTGACAAATAATATAGAACTATCAAAAATGTTCCGCAATTACAATCGTAATTGTTGATCCCAAAAATTGTTCACCAGGTGGATAGTTGGGATTGTGACTTGGCAGCCGATGGGGATGATCCTGCAAAGAAAGTCAAGGATTTGAGGGGCTCCATTGGTCGTCCTTTCAATGATAAAGTTAGAAGGAGAATGAAAGAAGGATGTTATAATTAGTTGGGAGAAGTCAACTTATTTGGATGATGCTCAACTTGGCCTTTTTATAGGTTAAGAGAGTAGACCGTTGAAGATCCTTTAGCTGCTTACTTGAATAAGGCAACATCAGAAGTGGAACAGCTTCGACGCCCATTGGCATGGATATCTCAACTAGTTTGAATTAGTCAATCCGAGCTAGGGTGCTGGTGAGCTAGGAGTTGGCGTCCTTTCCTAGTCATCAAGTTTATCCTATGAGTAACAAAGCTCATGTGCCGAGCTCGTGTCTAATTATCATCATCAGTTGTCCTTTAATTCAGATCAGTGAGCTGCACGCGCACTGAGTTTAATGCATTTGTCCATTAGTGTTTGGGAAAGCAGACATGTTAGTCATGCACATGCAGTTGCCAAAGAGTCGTTGTAGGGTCAGTGCATAAAACCTTCATTCCCTCTCCTTTTAACACATCTTTGAGAGTTTTAAGACATCTGGTATGCCCATCCTTCTTTATCTTTATCTCTTTTTGCCTTTCAGTTTTACTGTAACTCCTCATCTTGAAGCATATAGGTTGGAGCCACACCTTTTAGTTTCATTTTTATTGCTTTTGTTTATTTCAATGGAAGGACTCCAATCTCGATTATCTCGAACGTTTTTGTGGATAGATCTATTTGAGCTTGACTGAATTTGTACTCGACTTCTGTCTTTCTTGGATTGTCGATAGCCCTAATCGCCCCTTCCACCAAATTTATACATCAATCACCATAGATTCCCTATCATGGCAAACAATTGTGAGCACATGTCCTCTAAGGATACTCCATAATTAGTTTCCCAAGCTGGCATAGTCAACGAGGACTTCAATTCTATTTTGGAGATTGGCTCGTTGAATCTCAAGGTCATTGGGGCCAAAAACTATCATAGTTGCCTTAACAAGAACACTCTTTAGGAAATTAGGGCCTTATATCAAATTCCTAACTCTATGTGCCTTAGGGTGCCTTTAGTTAATGAAACCGCCAATTCTTTTGGCCATAACAAAGTCTGTTTCTACAAATCCATCTTTGAGGTTGGGCTCTGTTTTTCCAATGCCCAAGTACATTAGGGAAGTTCGTCATTTCTAGAATCTTGACCCCTAATAGTTGCGGAGTTCATGTATTGTTATAAACTCACCTCCCTGCCCTAGGCAGGGCTCGGGATGGTTTTACCTTTCAAAGAGAGAAGGGTTGAATCTACTTTTTGGTTACTCTTTGAATATGAAAGAGTGGAAAGACAAATTCTTCTGTATCTATAGCTCTGACTGGAAATTTGGGACATCAGAGACTATGTCTAGCATACCTCTTTTGGTTCCTCACCTATAGGGATCTTCTACCCCTTCTCTTTGTAAGTTGTCCCCCTTAGGTTGTGCTTTAACAAGTTCTTTTACTAAATTCTAACCTTATGCTATTTTGTAATTCAAGAAAATCCAATCCTTTACCCCCTGAACTGAAATTTTAGGTTAAGAAAGCTATTGATTATTCTTCTAATGATATCTTTGATTTGGTGAATGACCAGGCACTCTTTGAGTGTCATCTAGGTCCTCCTTTTGTTGCTCCCAATCCTCTGGCTGCCATAATTTCCTCCGCTAAAAGTATAGTTTTTACCTTGTTGTAGTTCTTGTTATAGCTTGGACATGCTTTGACATGTTCTTTCTTTCTGGTCATCTCTGCCAAACCATTTGACAAGAATGTACTTCTGGAGGTTATAGCCAGAAGAGCTTCTAATGCCAACCCTCCACCACATAAGAGACCCAGGGTGTCTTTTTCTCAGGCAAGGCATCAAACCTAAGCTCTATCTTTTCTCCATCAATTCCTCCTATCTCCATGACTGCTCTGGAGGAAGGCATCAATCTTACAGTGTTTAATCAGTTAGATGATTCCCTTCCATTGGTCCCACTAGTTGAAGCTCCATCTGCCCCTTTTACAGATAAAGGTAGGGAAAGGGTAAAATTTTTGGGTTTATCGAGGAACAGGTTGATACTGACACGACTTCCACTAAGGATCCAATGACCACCCCTTCTTTCATGTGGGACAGTGTGGAAGAGGCAATGGCTAGGTTCCACAAGTTTGTGAATGAGGAAGAGTTGCACGCTACTTTCAATATGGGGCTATCTTAGATTACCAATAATCTAACTCTAACCATATGGAAGGTGAGGGTCCTATTTATTCTCGGCTTACCCTATTAAATACTCCATTGTTCCCTATTTTTAATCGTGACCTTCCTCTGTTCATTTCTCAGCTTGCTATCCTCACTATCAACCTCTCTTATACTACTCTAAGTGAAAAAAAGGTTTATGAAGAGTAGTTTTAAGCCTTACATTCTCACTTGAAATGAGGGACAAAAATTGATAGCAGCTCGGGAAGATATCTTGAGGTTTATGATGGAGGTTGAGGAAACCCTTGGATGTGTTTCAACTTCTAAAAACAAGCAGGATAAGGTATTTAAGACCAATAATAAGCAGTTGGTTAAGCAGAATAACTATATGGCCAAGTCCATCTAGTTGTCTATGAGGGGTAAGGAGCTGGAGCAGGAGAAGGAAGTTTTTTCTCTGAATGTTTCGGACTTCTCCTCTAAGCTTAAGCAAAAGGAACTTGACGTTAAGTCCAATGGGGAAGCTATCTTAGCAAAGTATTAATACTCCAAGGATTTCAAGGAGAAGGTTCTTGAGTACTATGTGGATGACTTTGAGCACTTTACAAAGCGATCCCAAAAGGAGTTTCCTAACTTAGACTTCTCCAAGTTTGTTTCAAGAGATGATGTAGCACCTACAACTAGTGGAGAAAAGGATGGGGGATGAAGTGAGAAGCAAACCTCACCATGAATAAGAAGGATGGCGAGCATATCGAGACCATTGCTAAGGAATTGCCCATGTTGGCTAGAGAGATTGTAAGAGATGTTGCAGATCTACCAGAAGGGGATAAAAAACTTGAAGCTACTTCAACTGCTGATCTTGTAGGGAAAAATAAAGAGGATGCTTAGTCAATTAAAATTATTGCCTATTTGTCTTTATAGTCCTTTTGTAATGATGCAAACTCCCCTTTAATGACAACTTCCTTTGTACAAACTTTTGTGATTGTTTTGGTTTAACTTGAACCTTCCTTACTCCTGTGTGGGTACTATTGGGCATTAACTAAATCAAGCAACTGTAAAGTTTTGAGGATTTACTATGAGATAAGTCTTATACTCCCCCTTTTTTTTATTTTGCCTCTTGGTCTCAATCTATGATGGGTTCAACGCCTTGATCTTCTGTTGAGCCTCTTGAACTTAATCTAAGTTAGAATTAAAGAAAGTGAAGGTCCCATTACCATAAATGATTTTAACTTAGCTAAGTTGTCTTCTTAATGATGTTGAAAATAGGTGCATTTGACAGTTACACAGTCACATTGTTAGGAGGTATGGCTGGTGTCGTTCATTCCCATGATGCCATGAACCTTGGGTATTAAGCACTTTTGGTGCATGCCTTTCGCATTAATTTCCATATATTGGAGAGAACCGTCACTATTTTAATCCTTTCCCTTGATCCCTTTCATGCATTATCTTCTTTTTCTTTCGTCACTCTATAGCTAGCACTCCTACTCATTTTTCTCATGGATGCTTTACAACTATAACAAAATAGGTTTTGAGAAGGCGAACCCTTTATAACATGGAACCTTCTGGGCTAATCTCTTAGTGCCAAGCAGAATGACAATAGACCAATTGATGGGCATTAGGGGCATTATAGCTTCCCTGCCGGGGTATAGTCCATATTCCTCGTCCAGACTATCCTTGAAATATTGTTGCTTAAAGGAAGTCTACTTTCTTCGAGTATGCCTTCATGGTGGGTCTTCGATTTCCTTTTTCCTCCTTTATCAAGGTTGTCTTTTGTCTGTTAAACCTATGCCCTGCTCGGGTCTCTATGGAGGGATGGGACATTTTGGTTGGCATCATGGTCTTCTGTTGCTTAACGAGGCATAGGTGAATCTCCAAGCATGGTTGAGCTTATCAATCTA